AAAATGTCATTTAGTTCATTTAGTATATTAAGTGTAGAAATGTAATATGTGGAAAAAAGCATTATGTCAAATTATACACATTTGTAACATGTAATGTTTTTTTTTTTAAGCCCAACTCCTGACTTTTTTCTTAAATGCCCCTCAGTAGTTTTAATGTGAAAAAAAAAAAAAAAAAAGCAGCACCCGGTTGCAGTACTCACCTTCAATGCTTGGCTGTCCCCTGCAGTAATCTTTTATTGCAACAAGATGTCCTCTGCAGGAATAAACATTCAATGATTAACTACTTGCCCTCTGCCCTATAGCAGGAATAGCAGGCGATTCCCGGCCGGCACCCGGCGATTGTCGAGGAATCCCGACAGGGGAGAGACCTGTGTATAAACAACACAGTTCTCTCGCCTGTCAGCATGGACGTGCTGCTTTGTATCTCTCTGCACAGCAGCATGTCTCCCTAGTAAAACACACACAGCACACAGTTAACCCTTTGATCGCCCAAGATGTTAACCCCTTTCTGCCCAGTGTCATTAGTTCAGTGTCAGTGCTTTTTATTAGCACTGATCACTGTATTGGTGTCACTGGGGATGTCAATGGCAGTTAGTCAGTTCCCCCCCAGTATCAGAATGCCTGCCGCAGTCCCACAGTCTTGCTAGAAGTCTCAGCATGGATGTGCTGCTTTGTATTTCTCTACGCAGCAGCTTGTCTCCCTAGTAAAACACACATAGCACACAGTTAACCCTTTGATCGCCTCTTTGTATCTCTCTACACAGTGAGCAAAACAGTTCTCCTCCCTGTCAGCTCGTGCACACTGCTTTGAATGGCTCTGCACAGCAGAACTATCCAAAGCAGTGTGCTTACAGTGAAGCACACAGACACCGCCCCCTAGTAAAACACACACAGCACACAGTTAACCCTTTGATCGTCCCTCATGTTAAATCCTTCCTGCCCAGTGCCATTAGTACAGTGTCAGTGCTTTTTATTAGCACTGATCACTGTATTGGTGTCACTGGGGATGTCAATGGCAGTTAGTCAGTTCCCCCCAGTGTCAGAATGCCTGCCGCAGTCCCACAGTCTCGCTAGAAGTTTCAGCATGGATGTGCTGCTTTGTATCTCTCTACACAGTGAACAAAACAGTTCTCCTCCCTGTCAGCTCGTGCACACTGCTTTGAATGGCTCTGCACAGCACAACTATCCAAAGCAGTGTGCTTACAGTGAAGCACACAGACACCGCCCCCTAGTAAAAACACACACACAGCACACAGTTAACCCTTTGATCGCCCCTCATGTTAAATCCTTCCTGCCCAGTGCCATTAGTACACTTTTAGCACTGAGCACTGTATTGGTGTCACTGGGGATGTCAGTGGCAGTTAGTCAGTTCCCACCCAGTGTCAGAATACCTGCCGCAGTCCCACAGTCTCGTTAGAAGTCGCTGATCACCGCCATTACTAGTATAAAAAAGATGAAAAGTTCCAGTATATATATACCGCCTTTTGTAGCTGCTATAACTTTCACGTTAACCAATTAATTTACACGTTTTGGCATTTTTTCTTTAGCAAACACATGGAGCAGAATACATTTTGGCCTAAATTTATGATGAAATTTGATTTTTAAAATTTTTTAATTGGATATGTTTTTTATAGCAAAAAATAAAGTTTTTTTCCTCAAAAGTGTTGTTTTTTTTTTTTTGTTTATAACACATAAAATAAAAAGCGCACAGGTGATCAAAAACCACCAAAAGAAAGCTCTATTTGTGTGAAAAAAAGGATGTAAATTTCATTTGGGTGCAGCGTTGCATGACTGCGCAATTGTCAGTTAAATTAGTGCAGCGCCATAGCGCAAAAAATGGCCTGATCAGGAAGGGGGGGGGATACTTTAGAGGACAAGTAGTTAAGCATGTATGATGAAACACCTCAGGACACCTCCTCCCTATGTTTTGGAGACGAGAGGGGTAAGGCTTCATGTACACGAGCCTACCCTGATCGCCGGTCGCGGGAAAACGCAAATCGTGGAAAAACTGCGGCAACACGCAGCAAACATGGTTTTGCGGTTTCGTGCGGTTGGTGGTCAAAATGTACCAATCCTTAACGTGATTCTTCCACGTTCAGGAGAGGGAGGTTTAACCTCTTCACGCCGATGCCTCCCAGCCCTTTAAGGGGTTTCAGATGCCGGGGGGGGGCCTGGGCGGGGTTTTAGGGTCATGTGACCACCGTGATTTGCTGTCATATATATATATATATACACATATACATAAACTGCATGTTGAAATGTGTTTTTTATATATTACAAAATATATGAGAAACATTTTTAAAATTATATTTTTTTAAAATATATTCTTCAGATTTTTTTTAACATATAAAAAAGTCATTTTAACATATATTTGTAAATGCATTCCAAAAATGTAAATTAAATGTATTTTTAACCCCTTTGCGCCGGCGCCTCCCGGCCCTTTAAGAGCTTCAGAAGCCGGGAGGCGGGGTGGGGTTTTAGGGTCATGTAACAGCCGTGATTCGCTGTTACGGTGGTCACATGATCGGAAAAGGTCGCAATCGCAAGGTGAGATCGAGACCTTTCCGTGAGACACTGACATATGTGGTGGGAGCGTGCAGGGTGCGCGCTCTCAGCACATATGTGTTTTCAAATGGTACGCAAATATGAGGGCGCTCGGCGTCAAAGCCCAGCCGCTGGGAGGCCGCATATTTGCATACGGTCGATGTCAAGGGGTTAACCTCACCTAAATGCGGCAGCTCCTAAACTCTGATAAAAGCCTGTGCGTACATGGACACCTAGACTTTTTTGGAGTTGAGTTTTTGAGCTTTGGAAAAAAAATGCCTAAAGCTCCTAAGGTCGAGTTTAGGGGCTGCTCCTGTACATGGATCCTAAGTGTTTTGCAGTCCTAATCAGGAGCTCAGCCTAGGGTGACAAAGCTACACCACGGTGAGCGAGGACGTGTTCCACTGACAAGATCACCAGGAAAAAATACAGAAAAAAAAGCCTAAAATAGAAAACTAATACAGCCACCACATCATGGCCATGTGGCCATATTAGGTCAATGATGTCACCAGCATTTCGACCTTCGAATAACTATGGCTGAATGGGCCTGCCACTGAACCTTTGTCCATTCTCACTAAGGGCTAAGCCTCTATGTATGTACACGGGACACTTCTGAACGATGGAAACTGACTGCTGGAAAACGTAGGTTAAAAAACGTCTGTTTAGCCGCGTTTGCATAACGCGTTTATGTGCGTTTGCGTTTAGAAGCATTTTTTAAAGATAAGCACAGGAGAACCTCCCAAATGCTTAGAATGCACTGAAAAGTGTTAAATTATTAACTATTTCAGAGAAATACAGAGAGTAGAAGCAGAGACAGCAGTATGTGTTGAGATTAGCTTAGGTGTGAGTTGCTCATTAACATTTCTTTTGTTTCCAAGGGTGGGAAAGGTGTCTGGTGGAGGGAGTCATTAAGGTCACCTGGCAGGGGGTCTTCATGAGGAATTTGAGGTGTAAATGGTCATTAACATATCTTTTGTTTCCAAGGGTGGGAGAGGTCTGAGGTGTGAATGGTCATTAACATATCTTTTGTTTCCAAGGGTGGGAGATTAATGGTCATTATCATATTTTGTTTCCAAGGGTGGGAGAGGTCTGAGGTGTGAATGGTCATTAACATATCTTTTGTTTCCAAGGGTGGGAGAGGTCTGAGGTGTGAATGGTCATTAACATATCTTTTGTTTCCAAGGGTGGGAGAGGTCTGAGGTGTGAATTGGTCATTACAATGTGTGACAAGCTTGGTAGGAACATCCTGTGTTCAGTGTTTTGTCCATCTGAGCAGCTTGAAAATGCTTTGCATGCATTTTTCATGATGAAAAAAAGGCTCTGGACAGCATTGGGAACTGGAAGAGTTAAAATAAATTTCAAACGCAAACACTTATAAACGCAATTTTCCACGTTTAGCCACGTTTTACAAGCGTTTTGCGTTTGAAACGCTGATAAAATCAACTGCTGAACGAAAGTTTTCTGCGTTCAAAAAAAACAACTGTAAACTCAACTGCCTGTAAACGATGATGTGTACATGGACATATAGGAGAACATTAGGGAGAGTTCAGGGACTGCTGAAAAAAAAACGTAGAAAAGCTCCTAAATGTGAGTTTATCAGCTGCAGTGTACATGAGCCCTAAGATTTAATATTTGCAGGTAAAAAAAATGTGCATTTATTGTTCTTTTTTATTGGATCAGCAGATCGTGGGTGCAATGCAGGACTCCTGCAGACTGTCAGCATGTCTGCTCTTACCTCATATAGGCAGACAGTTACACAATGGTAGGAATCATAAATGAACTACCTAGAACTCTAACAATGCTCCGGAAGTTCGCTGAGAACTACAAGTCGTCAAAGGCTGACAGTAGTGTAGTTTCCCATTCACAGAACTCCGTGAATGAATGACGCGGCCAGGTGGGTGGAGCCCCACATGGACGCAACTTTTTAAAATTGCGGTTCAGGGAGAAGATTCCTGGCTTGCTGTTACAGCGGGACATGAGGGCAGCTACAGCAGTAACATGCAACCCTAGGTTCACATCTGTGTGGGTGGTGCTGCTGCGGATCTGCATGAAAATCCGTGCAACCGCACCACCCGCACAGAGGAATGCGGGACCAGCAGGCGGGTGCAATTAGTTCTAATGGCACGTCGCCCGCACTGGAAAAAGCAACCGTACTGGGAACCTCGGCTGCGTTTTCCAAAGAAGTGAAGGAGCTTCTTCCCTGCGTGTCCCGGGCACGAGAGTCCATTCAAATGAATGGGCTCTCATGCCCGTGCAAAACGCGGGCCCGCACAGCCGCATAGATGTGAACCGGGGGGTGACATGTTACACCCTGATTACTACCTAACAAAAGGTGAACACCTTTAACCGCTTCCCGACCACCCTATAGCAGATATACTGCTACATGGCGGCACGGGTGCACACAATCACGTATATATACGTGATTCTGCATTTCCGGGTACGCCCTACCCGTGCTGCCATTTGCAGCCACAACTGTCAATCACCGGGATCCGGAAGATGATTACTTGCCAGCGCCCGGTGATTGCCAAGCATCTCTGATGGGGAAGCAGAAAACTGTATGTAAATGAGGCCGACCTCATCGCAGGCTATCCCCTCTTCAGTCTATCATGAATGCTGCTGCCAGACTCATCCACCTTACCAACCGTTCTGTATCTGCCACCCCTCTCTGCCAATCCCTCCACTGGCCTCCACTCAGCGGCCTCCACCCTTCTCTGCCAATCCCTCCACTGACCTCCACTCAGCGGCCTCCTCCACCCTTCTCTGCCAATCCCTCCACTGGCCTCCATTCAGTGTCCTCCATCCCTCTCTACCAATCCCTCCACTGGTCTCCATTCAGTGTCCTCCACCCCCTCTCTGCCAATCTCTCCACTGACCTCCACCCCTCTCTGCCAATCCCTCCACTGGTCTCCATTCAGTGTCCTCCATCCCTCTCTACCAATCCCTCCACTGGTCTCCACTCAGTGTCCTCCACCCCTCTCTGCCAATCTCTCCACTGATGGACCTCCACTCAGTGTCCTCCACCCCTCTCTGCCAATCCCTCCACTGGCCTCCACTTCAGTGTCCTCCACCCCTCTCATGCGCCAATCCCTCCACTGGCCTCCACCTAGGGTCCTCCATCCCCTCTCCGCCAATCCCTCCACTCAGTGTCCTCCATCCCTCTCTGCCAATCCCTCCACTGGCCTCCATTCAGTGTCCTTCACCCCTCTCTGCCAATCCCTCCACTGGCTTCCTGTTTGCCAACGGATTAAATTCAAAACATTAACAATCACATATAAAGCCATTTATAACTCCGCCCCAAAGTACATCAACGATCTTGTCTCTAAATATCACCCAAAACCGTACTCTCCGCTCCTCGCATAACCTCCTGCTCTCTGGCTCCCTTGTCTCCTCCTCCCATGCTCATCTCCAGGACTTCTCCAGAGCTTCTCCCCCATCCTCTGGAACTCTCTACTCTACCTATTCTACCCCCAATTTATCAGACTATCGCCTACTCTGCCCACTTTGAAAACCTATCTCTTCAGGAAAGCCTATCCTGCCTTCAGCTAATAATGGAATCTTCTACTCTTCCAACCAGTCCATCCCCCACAGTTATTACCTTTTGTATCACTACTAGCCCCTCCCTCCTAGATTGTAAAGCTCCCAGGATCAGGGCCCTCCTAACCCTCTTGTATTGAACTGTATTGTTGCTGTAATTGTCTCCCGTTATATTGTAAAGTGCTGAGCAAACTGTTGGCGCCATAAATCCTGTATAATAATAATAACATAAATCCTGTATAATAATAAATTAGAGATGAGCGAATTATTCAAAAATTCGATTTCGGCTGATTCGCCGAATTTGAGGAAGAAATTCGATTCGATGCAAATTTATTCGCTCTGCGAATATTAACTTATAAAAAGGGTTTCTAGGAGAAGGATGAGAAGAAGGGGAAGAGGAGAAGGATGAAGGGGGGAAAGGAGAAGGATGAGAAGAAGGAGAAGGATGAAGAATGAAGGAGAAGAGAAAGGATGGATAGGAGAAGGATAAGGATGAGAAGAAGGAAGAAGGATGAGAAAAGGAGAAAAAAGATGGAAAATGTGAGAAGAAGAAGAAATAAGAGGGAGAAAGAGAAAAAAAAAAGAAGAAGGAAAAGAAGAAAGGATGAGAAGAAGGAGAAAAAAGAAGAAAGGAAGGAGAGATGATAGAAGAAGAAGGATGAGAAGAAGAAAGAAGGGGGAGAAAAGGAGAGGAAGAAAGGATGGAGAAGAAGAAAAGGATGAGAAGAAGAAGGAGAAGGATGAGAAAAGAAGAAAGAAGAAAAAGAAAAGAAGAAGAAGAAGAAGAAGAAGGAGAGAAGAAGGGGAGAAAAGAAGCCGGCAAAAAGTGTATCTGCAGAGAAATAGCTAAGAAAAGTAGCGGAGCTCTGAACAAGTCGGAAGCTCTGCAAGAACTAAGAGGAGCTTTCTGCAGATACACTTTTTGCCCGGCTTGGAATTAAAAGAAAGAATCCTACTTCTTCTTCTTCATCCTCATCCTCATCCAAAGAAGAAGAAGAAGAAGGAAAAAGAAAAAGGGGAAGGTAATTGAGAATGAAGGAGGAAGAAGAAGAAAGAATAGGATGAAAATAAGAAGAAAAAAAAAACAAAAAAAAAAAAGTGTATCTGCAAGCTCCTCAAGACAGGGAAAAACATTCAAAATTTAAACAGGTTGAAACATTGTATCTATTTGTTTCCATAAATGGAAACAAATAATACAATGTTTTCAACCGCTGAAAAATGGAATGTCATAGGAGAACTAGGTCAGAAATAGCGGAGCTCTGCAGATACACTTTTTGCCGGCTTGGAATTCTTCTTTTTTTCATCCTACTTCTTCAAGAAAAAATCTTCTTCCTCATCCTCAGAAGAAGAGGAAGAGGAAAAAGGATGAGGAAGGAAATAAAGAAGAAGAAGAAGGAATGAAGGGAAAAAGGGGGAAAAGAAGGGCAAAAAAAAAAAAAAAAGAGTCCTCCGTCTCTATTGAAAATTTAAGATAAACTAGAGATGAGGCTCTGAATTACACTTTTTGCCGGCTTGGAATTCTTCTTAAAAAAAAGACCTTTCTTTCTTCTTCTTCTTTTCTTCTTCTCTCAGAAAGAAGAAGGAAAAATCTGAGGATGATGGATTCTTTAAGAAGAAGTAGGAAAAAAAAAGAAGAATTCCAAGCCGTCAAAAAGTGTATCTGCAGAGCTCACTATTCCTTCTGCTCAGATCTCTGAATTCCATCCTTCTTTCATTCTTAAGAGCTCTCATTCTAAAAAACTTTGTTTCTTCATAAAGGGGAAAAGGAAAAGAAACAATTCTCAGAAGAAGGGGAGCTCTTGCATCCTACACCTTTTCATTCCTTCTTGGAATTCTTCTCATAATCAGCCCTCTTCTTTCTTCTTCTTCTTCTGATCCTTCCTCATAAAAGGAATCCTCAGAAGAAGAAGAAAAGAAAAAGATGAAAGAAAAAGAATGAAGAATGAAAAGAAGAATGAAGAAAGAAGAAGAAGAAGAGAAGATTCTTCTTTTCAAAAAAATCCGGGGAATACTTCTTCTTCTTCTTTCATCCTTCTTTCTTCTTTTCATTCTTCTTTTTCTTCTTCATTCATCCTTTCTTCTTTTCTCATTCTTCTTCATTTCTTCTTCATCTTCTTTCTTCTTTTTTCTTTTCTCTTTCTCTTCTTCTTCTTCATTCTTCTTCATTCTTCTTCTTCTTCTTCTTCTTCTTCTCATTCTTTTCTTTCTAATTTTCATTTCTTCTTTCATTCTTCTTTTCTCATTCTTCTTCTCATTCTTCTTCTTCATGAAGAAGAAAAGAATCTGAAGAATGAAAAGAAGAAAAAGAAAAAGGAAAGAAGAAAAGAAGGAAAAAAAAGAAAAAGAAGAAAAAAAAAAAAGAATGAAAAAGAAATGAAATGAAAAGAAAAAAAAAAGAAGAAGGGAAAAAAGATTTCATCCTTCTTCTTCTGAAAAAAGAAAAGAAGAATGAGGAAAGAAGAATGAAAAGAAGAAAGAAGAATGAAAAGGGAAGAAAAGAAGGAAGAAGAAGAAAAGAAGAAGAAGAAAAGAAAAGAAGAATGGGAAGAAGAAGAAGATGAAGAAGAATGAAAAGAAGAGATGAAAAGCTGAAGAAGAAAGAAAGAAGAAGAAAAAAAAAGAAGAAAAGAAGAAGAAGAAGAAAAAAGAAGAAGAAAAGAATGAAAAGGAAGAAGAAAAAAAGAATGGAATGAAGAAGAAATGAAAAGAAAAGAAGAAGAAGAATGAAAAAGGAGAAATGAAAAAAGAAAAAAAATCTTCTTGAGAAGAATGAAAAAAGAAGGAAAAGAAGTGAAAGAAAGAAAAAAAGAAGAAAGAAGAAGGAATTCTTCTTCTTTTCAGGAAAAAAGAAGAATGAAAAGAAAAGGAAAATTCTCATTCTTCTTCTTTTCATTCTTCTTTCTTCTTCTTTTCATTCTTCTTTCATTCTTCTCTTCATTCTTTTTCATTCTTCTTTTCATTCTTTCTTTTCATTCTTCTTTTCATTCTTCTTTTCATTTTCTTTCATTCTTCTTTTCATTCTTCTTCTTCATTCTTCATCTTAAAAATTCTTCTTCTCATTCTTCTTTTCATGAAAAGAAGAAAAGAAGAAAGAAAAAAGAAGAATGAAAAGATGAAAAAAAAGAAGAAGAAGAAAAAAGAAAAGAAAAAGAAGAAGAAGAATGAAAAAAGAAGAAAAAGAAAAGAAGAAAAATGAGAAAGAATGAAAAGAAAAAGAAAAAAAGAAAAGAAAAAGAAGATGAAAAAGAAGAAGGAAGAAAAAAGAAGAAAGAAGAAGAAGAAGAATGAAAGAAGAAGAAGAATGAAGAAGAAGAAGAAGAAGAAATGAGAAAGAAGAAGAAGAAGAAAAGAAGAAGAAGAAGAAAAGAATGAAGAAGAAGAATGAAAAGAAGAATGAGAAGAATGAGAAAGATCTTCTTTCTTCTTCTTCTTCTTTTCATTCTTCTTCTTTTCATTCTTCTTCTTCTTCTTTTCATTCTTCTTTTTCATTCTTCTTCTTCTTTTCATTCTTCTTCTGGATTCATTCTTTCTTCTTTTTTCTTCTTTTCATTTTCTTCTTTCATTTTCTGAATTCTTCTTGAAAAGAAGAAGAAGAAGAAGAATGAGAAGAAGAATGAAAAGAAGAATGAAGAAGAAGAAAGAAGAAGAATTCCAAGAAGAAGAAGAAGAAAAGAAGAAGAATGAAAAGAAGAAGAATGAAGAATGAAGAAGAAGAAGAAGAAAAGAAAAGAAGAATGAAAAGAAAAGAGAAGAATTTGAAGAAGAAAGAAGAAGAAGAATGAAAAGATGAAAAGAAGAAGAAGAAAAGAAGAAGAAGAAGAATGAAAAGTGAAGAAGAAGAAGAATGAAAAGAAGAAGAAGAAGAATGAAGAAAAAAGAAGAAGAATGAAAAGAAGAATGAGAAGAATTGAAAAGAAGAATGAGAAAAGAAGAAGAAGAAGAATGAAAAGAATGAAAAGAAGAATAAGAATGAAAAGAAGAATGAAGAAGAATGAAAAGAAGAATGAAAAAGAAGAATGAGAAGAATGAAAAAAGAAGAAGAATTCTTCTTTCATTCTTCTTTTTCATTCTTCTTCTTCTTTCTTTTCAGAAGAAGAATTCTTTTCATTCTATCTCATTCTTCTTTTCATTCTTCTTTTCATTCTTCTTCTTCTTCATTCTTCTCTTTCTTCTTTTCTTCTTCTTCTTCTTTTCATTCTTCTTCTTCTTCATTCTTCTTTTCATTCTTTCTTTTTTCTTCTTCTTCTTCTTCTTTTCATTCTTCTTTTCATTCTTCATTCTTTTTTCATTCTTCTTTTCATTCTTCTTCTCATTCTTCTTTTC